CGAGTTTTTCATCTAAATTTCTGCATGTTTTACACACAAATGAGGCTAACACAGCGTAAAAGAAATCGCAAAACTCATTTACTGGCTTCAAATTTTCATAAAATGCTGTTTTCGAGTCAATTTTAATTTTTCTTCAACTCAATTTCTCAAGTGTATGCAAATTAGCTAAGATGTAAACGACCACCCGTATGGTGAGTCCATCAAAGTTTTATTTTATTTATTTATTTATTTTTGTCTAAATCTTTGGCTATTTTAGCAAAGTTGTTTCATAGCTGCTATTTTGTTTGCTGCATGTTAACCATTTATCATAGTTCTTTGAGGTTTATACGCGCGCTAAAATCGTTTTGCATCTAGATCTTCGACCGTTCAACGGCAAAGAATGTTATTACACATAATAAAGGCTTACTATACTTTAGTACATATGCATTGCCCTTCTATTTGGTAACGATATTTACATTTTTACATTAAACTAACGATTTTGGGAAAATTGTGCATTTTGTATTGGTCTTTCATAAAATCGTAAAATAAATAGTCTTCTTCACGGAGTTCCCTGCGCCATCTTAAAAAGTAGCCGTGCTTTTGCTTCGAAGCCAGACGACCGTTGAGCATGCAATGATAGAAACCTTCTTTCACACCTACAGGCAATTATTCACAGGTTTCTATCATTGCACACTAAACGGTTGTCTCGCTTCGATACAAAGTCACGGTTACCTTTCAAGATGGCGCAGGGAACCATTAAAAGAGACTATTGTACTGCAATCACACTGACACGGATCAGCGGTTTTACCGCATGCTCATGATCACTTGCCTGCGTGTCTAAACGTGTGTTTTTTTCGTTTTCCCCCTACTTTTTCGCTTGTCTATTCATATACAATATCTCCATTTGAATGCCATGTCTCCTTAAAAGGAGACATTGGAGACCTTCTCTATATAGTGGAAGTCGGAAAAAAGGTATTTTACCTTTACGACAAAATTTGCTTTCATATATGATTATATGATAAACAGAATATTGCATTGTCGTTTGAAGATACGAATTTTATCTTCTCGTGCTGAAAATCTCATTCGTTCGCTACGCTCATTCATAATCATATGATAAACAGAATATTAAATGGTCGCTTGGAGGTACAAATTTTATCCTCTCTTGTTGGAAATCTTTTCATTTTGAAAGTGCTAGACTTGCATGAAAATTTCCTTATTTCAAAACTTCTAGCTATACAAATATATGACTCATTTATATCTATTAAAAACAATTGCGGGAAAATATTTGTTTTGATTCAAAAGATGGAAGAACAAAAGGATGGAGTAAATGACGTCATCTRCTCCAACATTTTTTGTTCCAAATTTTTAAGGATTTGTAACAATATCTTCTTKAAATCTGTTGTTTCATGATTATTAGACCCATATTGATAGGTMTATTTGATTTCCAAGTCTTTTTTAATGYTTTGCAATTTTCTTTCAAGTAGCTTTTTGAAAACTCGATCAAAATCCCTATCTCCGCGCGTATAATATTTTCCATTGATTCCTGTTTGAATATTCTACTGTTCAAGGAACTTTTTGCTTTTCAATAGACTTGTTATCTGAACAACGAATTTAAACTAAAGACACTTTCGTCGAACTTCTTGGAAAGACAGTGTCGAATATCAAAGCAT